TTCTTCCCCGGTCGAGCCGACCCATTCGTGCTACAACTGTACTACTAATAAAGCTGCGACGTGGCTCTACCACGTATGAAATGTATGAGGTGGTAACCTAGTTCACTCATGACCTTCATTTTTTGCCTCTTTCTTATTCAAGATACTAATTTGTTCAAATAAAAATTATTTAAGTATTGCAATATGTCTGATTTGAAGATTTGATCGCAATCTAACACACGACTTTAATTTCTAGGCGATATGACTCAATTTCTCTCTAGGAATCAGTATCACTTTATCACTATATGGTATCACTTTCTAATCTATTTCTAGCAGTGCAGTTTCTGAATAGCAGTGCTCGCACTGCTGTTTTTTTTGTCTGAAAAGCCAATATAATCACAGATTTGATTTCAACTTAGTCATCCGAGGTGACGATGGATCTGTAGCCTTTTTAGTTTGGATTGGCTTGCAAAAAATATGGGTAAATAAACACAATATTAAAACACAGGAAACATATAATTTCAAAGAAGTTTCATATAACAATAAATTGTTTAAGTGTAATATCTATATGAAAATAATAATTTAAAAAGGATTCATGTACTTATAAGTGTATGCTTAAACATCACAAATAAATTCCATTGTAGTTACTGATTTTGCTTCTAATAGTAAAATAGCTTCTTTCTTGCCACATTTTACGCTCACAGATTTTACGCTACCCCTGAAAATAAAATTGATAGTATTATTATTATTATTCAATCCCGGGTACCATCTCTGCCGGCACCAATGAAATTGTTAATTGCAATTTTAAGTACTGATTTACCACGTGCTCGACGGTGAACGAAAATATCGTGAGGAAACGTACATGTCTGAGAAATAAGATAAAAATATTTCAAATACATGTGAAGTTCTCCAACACGCATTGGGGCAGCACAGTGGACACTTCCTTGCCTAAAAAACCCTCTCAGAAATGAGAGGAGGCCTGTGCCCAGCAGTGGGATGTATATAGACTGGAACTTAAAACAGAAGATAGAATAATATGAAATAAATGTAAAGAACTTACTCATTTAATAAAACAACGACGACAGTGCCATCTGGCGTTAGAAAAGCAGTATTCTTAACGGACCTAGAAATCAATGATTTTTGCTCTCTAATTTCGATTCTTCTTGAACCTCGTTTTATGAATTTGGAGAAATGTCCCATAGCGTAAAACATAGGCTGCTTGTAAAATTCCTTTTGCTCGGCGTTTACAATAACAGGCGAGTCTACATAGTTCCCAGACCAATTCGGACCACCTCGCGTGTTCAGACACAAGTTCCAGTCAATCCAGCCAACAACATTGTAGTTCATATCCTGTTTTAACAAAATTTTTACATTTTATTTTATCAGAAGAACATGTCGCTAATTTTGGTATATTGGACATTTTTTGACATTTTAATATAATTAAGATAGTTCTTCTGTGATTATCTTGGTTAAATTTACGATATCAACAGGACATGATGTGGTGAACTATCTTTTACTATTATATTACATATTTTAAAGTAAATTTAACAGATAAAGAAAAAAATAAATTTTCAGTAAAATCTGGGAAATTGACTGACAGATGGCAGTATAAACATATGGCAGTATAAGCATGGCAAACCATTCTTTATACCGGGTGTTTGTGAAACGCTCCCGAAAACGATACGTTTTATACGTGGTAGAGCCATGCTGCAGCTATATTAGTAGTAAAGTTGTAGCACGATTGGGTCGGCTCGACCGGGGAAGGACCACGCTCTCACAGAATACCAGCGTAAAATAGCAGCTTAATACTTCTGTGTTTCGTATGGTGAGTGTAGATTAACGGAGATTCTTTTTACTGGAAAAGAGGCATTCATCTTAGTCCTCACGGGTGACAACGCATCTGCATTTTGATTCGCAAACGAGGATAAATGTAGATATCTATGGATCACAGCAACCCCTTACCATCAGGTGGACTGTGTGGTCGTTTGTCACCCTATTCCTATAAAAAAAACGAAGACAGACGATAGTACTAACTATACCTTTGATGATGGGTGAGAAATAAAATCAATCCTGAGGAAAAAAAATCACCTTTTCGTAACGTTTTATTAGCTTTATTCACGCCCCATCATGTTGGTACAGCTAAATAAAACGATAATTTCATGAAAATACATAAACATTAAACCAGCAGTGAAATTTAAAATAAATATATTATAAAATCAGCTGACAATAGGGTCAATACTCTCGGGAACGCCGAACTCTTACGTAACTAGCTCGGTGCGAAACAATGCCTACTCACTCTACCCTTCCCTATCACACACGCGCTACCTCCGCCCGGCCGGCTCGTGCCACCTCGCGCTGTGGGATTTAGACATGTCAGCTTTACCAAACATGTGGGAAATTCCCCAAATTGCGGGGAATTTAAAGTTGGTTGGGGATTTTATTTATTTATTTTACGGGGAAAATGCAGGGATTTTGAAAATCGATAGCCAGGGCAAAGTCAGAGCCTTTTTTCAAGCAATCTAAATACTTATCTTAACATTTTGTTATGTTACTTACGAATATCGAATGACTTTCTTTTTTTAATTATCTTCATTGCACCACATTTAATTTTCGGATTTATTTCGGCAACTTTTGTGTATCATTTAATGCTTTTCATTTCTTTATTTTTTAATTTTTAAAAACAAAATGTCAGTTAAAAAGTAAATCTTATAAAATTAGTTGGACATTGATTCATTTCTTAAAATAAAATTGGGGGGAATTTGTGGGGAATCTGTTGAAGCTTTGTCCTTAAATTGGGGAATTTGACATGAATTTTCAGGGAATTTGACAAATTGATGTTGGCAACACTGTCATGTTGCACCGAAATTTAGTTTGCCGGCGACATAAGAATTAAAGGCGGCAATCACTATAAAACTTGCAAGTAATTTTTAATAATTTTGACGTACCTCTTTCTAAATTCAAAGTATTGGTCGGATTAAATACGGAAAGTCAATTAAAATGATTATGCCATGTCGAGAGAATGAATGAAGAACGATTGACGAAAAAAGTGTATAAGGCGAGTGTGAATGAAAGTGTTGGAAGGGGTAGACCTAGGCGGACATTTCTGGACCAAATCAGTGACGTCTTGAAAAAAGGCCAGGTCAAGAGTACCCTAAACCGTAGAGCATGTATGAAGGGAATAATGAAAGTGGACGAAGCAAAACAAGTATGTAAGGATCGTAGCAAGTGGAAAGAACTGGTCTCTGCCTACCCCTACGGGATAGAGGCGTGATTATATGTATGTATGTATGTATGTCAATTAAAATGAAGTAAAAAAAATATTTTTTACAAGCGTCAGTAGCCTAATGGCAGGGCGCGGACCGCGAACTCGAAAGGTCGTGGGTTCGAATCCGCCATTCGACTACTGTCGTGAACCACTTCTAACACAAGCATTTTAAGCTTACCAGAAGTGGTTAAAGGGAATATTAGTAATGTTTAATAGCATTACTTGTATTTTTAATTAAAATAATTTAAAATTAAAAATTTTGTACAGCCGACTTCAATATAAGTTATTTAAGAATAACTTAAAAACTATTGGTCTGACCTTGATCAAATTCATATGGGACCACACGAGAAGTACCAGCTTTCAAATAAAAAAAGAATCATCGAAATCGGTTCACCCAGAAAAAAGTTCCGAGGTAACACACATAAAAAAAAAACGAAAAAAAAAACATACAGTCGAATTGAGTACCGGCTCCTTTTTGGAAGTCGGCAGAAAAAGAATAAAAAAGAATTTTACATTAATTCTGATAGATTAATTAACTGTCGATCATAATTGCATTTGATTTTAACTATTAAATTATTCAGTACCATTTCATTTCTATTTTCTTATACAAAATCAAAGATAACGATGAAATAGTGTTTATAATAAAAAGCATGACTCTAACCTTGTTATCCTTTCATTTAAGTAATTTTTTTATTAGCGGGGAATCGAAGCAGGTATTTGGTTTATTTAACCTGTGAATAAAGTGACTAGGTGAAGAGAATCACAGTGACAAAATAGTAGGTTAAGTAGATAAGTCAGGTATTTAGACAAGTGTTGTAAATTATTAAGTATTGTGGTATCATTTGCTAGCTGCGGCCCGCGCGAATTCGGCGTCCGGGCGTACATTGACCTAGTCAGCTGATTGTAATTCCACTGCTGGTTTTATGTTTAAGTATTTTCATGATTCTTTTTTTAAGAAATTATCGTTTCATTTAGCAGTACTAACATGATGGAGCGTGAATAAAGTTAATAAAACGTCTCACCCATCATCAAAGGTATAGTTAGTATTATCGTCTGTCTTCGTTTTCGGGAGCATTTCACAAACACCCGGTATAGGTAACAAACGAGCACACAGTTTACGTGATGGTAAGTGAATGCTGCGGCCCATAGAGACTTACATCTTCGATTAAGAATCAAAATGCAGATGCATTGTCACCCTTGAGGACTAAGATGGAATGCCTCGTTACCAGTAAGGGTCTCCGTAAGTCATTGTGTTATCTAAACTTAATGCTTGCTTATATTCTTTTTGGTATTGTCATAATAATTATCATAGATAATTTTGTTTTATTTGAATTTAGAATTTGACATATTTACAATGAATGTTATATAAGTAATTTCTTTTTCAATTAATATTTATAACAGTGTTTTACTTATTTTCATATTATAAAATTATTTGGATTGTATGACTCTTACACATTATAACTGTTGCTAGGTTCAGTTTTGATAGGTAGTAGGGATAGGCTACCACCATTGTGCGATATTATTTAAACGATTGCAATAATCATTAACTGGCTATTCGTGTTGAGAACTAGTAAAAGCAACAAGTAATTAAGAGTATTATTGCCCTTCCTGTGACTCCTTTAATACTATTGATAATACCCGATAACAATCTTTACTGAACACAATTAAAGTAATATATATATTAGTGTTGTCCTGACCCCTGAACTAGGAGAGCCTGTATGTCATAGACAAAGATAATAAGAAAAGAGATATGTACCTCTAATATGTCTGTGATGTAACTGACTGCCCTCGGCCATGAACCCAGTTTCACTTTTTCGGTTTGCCACGGATACGAACCTGATTAAAACAAATAATATAATAAAGACTTCATTTGACAAACAAATCTATACCGTGCTGTTTGGAGCTTCTGGCGATTGGATGACACAAAATCCATATAATAAATACCAAACCCAAATCCCACAGACTGTGTTTTTTTCTCTTTATTTGAATTAATAAATTTATTTAATATAGCATATTTAAAGTTCACTGCCGAACATAGGCCTTAGAGTGCTTTTTTGGTAGGCGGGATGACAACCGCAGTTTTTTACTATTTAGAGTTGATATCAGGAAGTTGCTGCTGCCCATCTCCTGTTTTATTTCCCTCTGTCGCCTCTTACGGCACTCACGGCATGATATTATGCTCGACACGGGTGATTTCTAGATCTCGACAACAGTGCCACCTACCGGGTGAATACCGGTCCAATTGTAAATCTAAAACATCTAACAAAACACTAAAACACGCACGAAAAACAACATCAAAATTGGTCAAGCCGTTTGGGAGGAGGTCAGTAACGAACAAAAGTACAGTATAGATATATATAAAGATACCTTCACAAGCTTCCGTGGCTAATATCATTTTATCTGGATGGGTCTTCGATACTGCGTACAAAACGGAAGCAGGCACCACTTTGTCAGCGTAGAAATGCACACCAACACCGTCTATGTAGTCTAGCGCTTTGGGATACTTATTCAATATCTATAAATAGACAAAATATCTTTATACAAATTCCGTTCAAGAGCATATATTGTGAACACGGAAGGGTTTTTAATCTGGGAAACGTAAAGCTTTGCACGGGTAATTTCTGAATCTACCACCATCTAATGGGCCCTTTATTGTGAATCAAAGCCATTCTCGAATTAACTTAATCACACACAAAAAATTTCATCAAATTAAATGTATCAGTTAGTTCAGGTGTGAATGACATTTTTTCACAAGATTGAAAATAGATTTTCTTTCATATGTAGAATTCTTCATTTTTTCAATTAAATCTTAAGAATCACTTTTTTTCAAATAAGACAAAACTCGTTTCCAGTAAAAAGGGTATCCGGTTCTCTACATATTGTTACGAGCTTGGGGTTCGAGACCGATTGAATTACCAAAATTGACACTTTAATTACACAACACTAATTACAATCTAAAACCACACTAATAATAAAACACAATTGTACTACTGATCACTTAAGTTCGCAGTTGTTTCGCTTCGAAGTATTCACTTGTATCGTCAATTCAATACTGCCTTGGTCGTGGTCTATACCGGCCTTATATAGGGCCTCAGATAGTTTCCAGAACCTTCTACTGTAGCGACATTTAGAATGTTCAAGTACATATCGGTCCCGATATTTCTAGAAGGATCTTGACTCTTCTAGTTCTGCTATTCGACACTAGAGGGCGCTAGTGTAACTAGTGTTGCCATGTATAAGACATCAATAGTTGTGCGCAACACTGCCCCCTCCTAAGACATGCTCGTACCGAGCATTATTGGCCCCATAATAACGCACCAGTCGATCCACATGGACGATCTTAGGAGTACCTCTGGCACCTTTCTGTATCCGGTAGGTTACGTCATTGATCCTTGTCACAATCCGGTAAGGTCCGTCCCAATTAGCTTGAAGCTTAGGAGATTTCCCTTTGCTGCGAACTGGATTGTGTAACCACACTAGTGAACCTTCGTCAAACCCCTTGTTGTTCATTTTGCGGTCATACCGTGTTTTCATTTTCTCAGACGTTTGCTGGCCCGTCTGTCTGACGTGCTCTTAAATGTCATTCATTTTGTTCTGCAAGTCATTTGCATAATCGGTTATACTGCGTGGGGTATTCCGGTGATCAAGTCTGCAAGCAGTCGTAATTCTCTCCCAAAGTTTTCGAAAGCTGGTGTCACTGACGTACTTTCGTGAACAGCGCTTCGATATGACAACAAAAACGGTTGTATGTGCCTGTCCCAGTTTCGTTGCCGTTTTTCCACAACTTTTGCTAGGTACCTCTCCAATGTCTGATTAAATCGTTCTACCATTCCATCAGATTGTGGGTGGTAAAAAGTTGTTCTTGTGTTATGAGTACCCATAACTCGGCAAGTTTCCTGGAATATTTGAGACTCAAAATTCCTTCCTTGATCGCTGCGAATCTCTAAAAGTACTCCAAAACGACAGAAAACTTCATGAACTAGTTTATCTGCAACTGTTGAAGCTTCTTGATTTGGAATAGTGAAAACTTCTGGCCACTTAGTGAAGTAATCCATCACAACCATGAAATACTTGTTACCACTTTCACTTTCCGGAAACGGCCCCGCAACGTCAATAGTTATCCTCTCCCATGTTGCACCAACCTTGTACAATGTCAATGCGCCTCTACTACGAATTTGAGGTCCCTTTACAGCCGCACAACTTGTACATTTGCGGCAACAGTCCTCGACATCGTCACGACAGTGGACCCAGTAAAACCGTTCTCGGATCTTCGGTAGAGTTCGTTTAACTTTTCCACTCATTGCTGAGCTGGTCTGTCCTGAGTATCCTCACAGATACCACTTCCTCTTACCTAGTACAACGCTTGCAATCTTCAGGACAAAGTCTTCTTGACAATACATCTGCGTTGCCATGAGATTTCCCGCTGCGCTGAACGGTGCTGTTAGCCGCACTACCCTCTCGAAATCGATCACCTTCCCTTTCTACAGTTCGCTTAGGGCAGCTTGATCGAAGATGGCCCCTTTCCCCACAGCCATAGCACCTAGGGTTGTAGCCGTTATTGCGCTCCCGAACTGTAGCTGCTGCAACCTCTCTAACGCGATGAGAACGATGATCCTGCCGCACGGCTTCCACCTCCAGTGCATGGGTCAAGTCGTCCTTAAGCGTCTCGTGGTGCCGAGCCTGACAGCAGCTCTGACTTCAAGGTCGTGGATGCCGTCGATGAATGTCTGCACCAGGTTCCCTACAATGAGCGCAGGTACAGACTGGTATGCTTTTCGAACCAGCTTCTCCACCTCAATGGCCCACTGCTGCAGGTTTTCATTACTACGTTGAACGCAATCTTTGAGTTGCGCACGAAAGACGTGTCCCAGGTGAGCGTCACCATATCGCGCCTCCAATGCCTCAAGGAGTTACTCGTAAGTCACTTCCTTACCGAGAGCTTCCAGAACAGTTAAGGCCTGGTCGCGCAGGCCTAGGGTGAGAGCAGTCATGGCCTGACTTTTATTCCAACCGTTCGCTTTCATGACAGCCTCGAATTTGATTTTGTAGGCCGACTAGGAAGAAGTCCCGTCAAACGGCGGCACTTTGAATCCACGTAGCGAAGGTGTTGTAGCTACTACGGGAGCTGTAACTCCATCCCCAATTTTGACGTTGTCAAGCGTTTTCTTCACGTCAACCATCACTTTGTCAACCCGATTGTTCACTTGGTCGATTCGAGTTTCAGCTTCCGACAAGCGGTTGTTATGTTGAGCAACCCTATCCTTCAGCTCCTTTATCTCTTTCCCGAAGGTAGCGTGAAGGCCTTCCTGAGGAGCATCTGCTCTTCCATATCGTGCTGCAGCTGCTCTTCCAACCGACGGGTCTGTTCCTCCTGTCGGCGGGCCTGTTCCTCCTGTCGGCAAGCGTGATCCTGCAGCATCATCATCAGAGCACCTAAGTCAGGTGCTGCAGATGCAGGAGCTGATAATGGGCCGGCCTCCGTGGTTAGCAGCTGGCCCTCCGACGTTTGCGGCGTTGCATTACCAAATCGTCTCTGGTCCGTCTCCTGTTGGCGTTGACTTCAGGTACGGATACCCTCCGTGTCGCCTTTAGGTAAAATCGGCATATTTGATCCCACTTCTGACACCAATTGTTACGAGCTTGGGGTTCGAGACAATTAAAACTGCCGATTAAATTACCAAAATTGACACTTTACTTACACAACACTAATTACAATCTAAAACCACACTAATAATAAAACACAATTGTACAACTGATCACTTAAGTTCGCAGTTGTTTCGCTTCGAAGTATTCTCTTGTATCGCCATTTCAATACTGCCTTGGTCGTGGTCTATACCGGCCTTATATAGGGCCTCAGATAGTTTCCAAAACCTTCTACTGTAGCGACATCTAGAATGTTCGAGTACATATCGGTTCCGAAATTTCTAGAAGGATCTTGACTCTCCTAGTTCTGCTACTCGATACTAGAGGGCGCCAGTGTAACTAGTGTTGCCATGTACAAGACATTAATAGTGACGCGCAACAATATTTTAAAAATAAAACAAATTGTTAAAACAATAAAAAATATATTTCATTCAAAAGTTTCCTATTGTGAATACTAAAATCCTTTTAGTAACGACCAAAAAAATTTCAATGTCAAATTTTGAACTGTATAAATAGCATGCCTATATTTTTGTTAGGGATGTTTGTTATATACTGTATTATTATTAAATAAATTATCGCAAAGTTTATAAATGTTTGTTTTCAGCCCTTCAGTCGTTAAAAAATAATCATATGCTTACCTCATTAAACCAAAACGGTATAGTAAAGCGCTGGTCGTCACAGGATAAGATCTTAACGTTTTTAAAAATGGAATTTCGTATAATTGGGCCCAAATTGTTTACAATCCATTCGCCCTGAAACATTAATTACACTTTTGTAGTACACACCGTTATCGTTAGTCATTAAAATACATACAGATGTTTTCCATTTCGGTTTTTGAGTTTTTACAAGGCCTCTAAACTTAGGGGTACTCTTGTATGGTCTAGTAATCTATGAGGCCATTGCAGTCCATAGTTATTTAAGGACATTCTACAAAGTAATAAACGTAACTGAACACGTCTTTGTTAGGAATTAACTACTTAATCCATGGTCTGCATGGCCTCTTACGAGTCATTATTCCACCTGGAATGTTGGCTAATGCTAAAATGACACGTTTAGATTTTCGGCACGAGTAACTCGCCGAGTAACTCACTGAGGTAATTGTGGACAAGTACGACGCGTTTACATATTCGTCTGCATTCATGCAACGTAGATCTTTTAAACATGAATGACGCGCGTCTCGTTGCCGCGAATTTATGTCTACTTGATAATTATAGACTCACAAATATTTATTTGGGGGGTGTGGAGCGCCCCTCCCCCACTATATGGAGCGACGAACTGGTAAGAAATACATGAAGCCGATGGATGCAGATGGCTCAGGACCGTGCTTTGTGGCAGGTCCTTGGGGAAGGCCTATGTTTAGCAGTAGCACATGAAGGGCTGTAATGATGATGATTATGATAATGAAATGTTTATTTTCATTACTATTTATTTAAAACTGATTTCTATGACCCCATATCATGGGTTCTCATTGATAAATTTCTATAAAAATAGTGGATTCGTTACTCCATCACAATAGTTAGGTATTTTAATTATTTAAAAGCTTTTAAAAAAGTTACTTCGCAAACATCCGCTCTATAAAGTAAAATGATGTGTCTTACCTAGTATGAAGAGCACCTCCCACCCTCCCTCAGATGCGTGCACTATTCCCGCCACCACTAATCCCAGCACAACTACTCCCAACACCACTACACTAGGAAAGACACACCACTGACGACAATAGACACGTGTTTCGCCTCTACACGAGGCATCCTCAGGTGATGTAGACTCTACGGTGGCTGACCGTTATTAATTATTAACGGGATAGTGTACGCAATTTTTTTTTGTAGAATAAGGGTGACAAACGAGCACACAGTCCACCTGATGGTAAGTGGTTGCTGCGGCCCATAGACATCTACATCTATCCTCAAATCAAAATGTAGATGCGTTGTCACCCGTGAGGACTAAGATGGAATGCCTCATTTCCAGTAAAAAGGGCCTCCGGCCACCTGCACTCACCAAGCGAAACGCAGAGGTAAACCGCTACTTCACGCTGGTTTTCTGTGAGGTCGTGGTACTACCCCGGTTCGAGCCGGCCCATCCGTGCGACAGCAAAAGCTGCCGCGTGGCTCTACCACTGTTAAAAAATTGCAATTGAGGGAGGGCGGGAGGTGCTCTTCATACTAGGTAACACATAATTTTATTTTATAGAGCGGATGTTTGCGAAGTAACTTTTTTAAAAGCTTTTATATAATAGAAATATATATAAAATAGAAAAAAAAACAAAAAAAAAAAGAAAAGTGACAGGTGACAATTGTCCATATTTTGAAATATATTGTTTAAAATAACTATTTATTATAATATTATTTTATATATAATTATACATTTGATGCGAAAAATGATGCTTTATACAGTGGTGTAAATTTCTATAAGCACAAATTTCACGAAAAAATTTTAGGAGTGAAAAACGGACATTTTCGTGAACACCGCCGGATTTTGATGTTTGCCGAACCAAATCAGAAAGTGGCAGATTGTGTATTATCTCATATAAGGAAAGATTCCACGCCACGCAAGCCTTACAATTCCAACCCTGACATCAATAAATCAGGTGAGCCTAGCAATATGACTACTCGAAAGCATAAACACGACAACGACTTCTCAGAGGCTCTCAATAATTTTACCTCAGAGATACGTAGAACTTTACATGACTGGAAAAAGGAAATTCAAGATGAAATATCAGGAATTAAAAATAATTTAGACTTCGTATTAAAAACCGATCTTGAGAAACTAAATGCATCCTTTGCTGAGATCATGTCGGAACTAAGCAGCGTCCGTCAGGAATATCACGAGATTAAAAAGTCGGTCATATCTCTTGACCTAAAGTACAACGAGACAATGAAGCAAATCACAGTTTTAGAAAACTCTGTACAATTCAATTGCGACCAATATGACCATGTTCAAAAGAAAATGGAATTATTATCTGTTAACAAAAAAGCAATCGAATCACTAGAATCCAAAATGGACTTATTGACTAACGAAAACAGACTATTACAATTGGAAATTAACACAAATAATCAAAGAGATCGCCTTTTGAACTTAGAGATCGTCGGCGTTCCTGAAATCAAGGATGAAGACTTAACCAATTTAATTATATCCATTGCTAAGCAGTCTAATGTAACTATTTCCCCTAATGATATATTAGAAGTTAATCGTGTCACACCGAAAATCAAACAACAGGGCCGCCCGAAAAATATAATTGCAAAGCTTAAATCGCGTCTTCTAAAGGACAACATAATCTCCGGCACTCGAAAAAACCGACTGACCACCAAAGACCTTGCCATACATGGCAGCGTTCGTTCCGTATATGTCAATGAGCATCTTACACAGTGCAATAAACTTCTACTAAAGAAATGTAGGGAGACTGCGAAACTTAAGCAGTATCAATATGTGTGGACAAAAAACGGGAGGATCTACGTCAGGAAGAACGACACATCTCCGGCTTTGCATATATCACAGGAAAGAGACGTTTTAAAATTAATTTAATCTTACATTGTATATTGTTTTGTTCTCTTTTCAAGTACGTTATATTGCTTAAATTTATCAATTCCATCGTTGTAAAAGCAATTCATTGGTCTCTCTTATCTCATTTTGTCTATATTATATATCATTGTTTGACCGCACGTAAAGGGAGCTCAATTAATGAAATATTTTTGGTCTTAAGTGTATTAGTCACACGCGCGATAATTGTGCAGCTAAGTTGCATCCATATTCTTCACGAACGTTACTCAACTATATATATATTATGGTTTCTTTTACTATATCCTTTATATTTAATAAAATACCAATTATATTTTTTCTGGCGTCTTGTATATTATATATTAATTTATTTTACTTTGTCAATCTATGAATTCATCTATTATATTGTTATTATTCATAATAATTACCCATTCAATATTTATTTATTAAATCTAACAACAATACTTAAAACGTCTATATTGTTACATTCGCGATATTTATATATATATTTAATAACTGCTCTGCATATTTATAAGCTCGCACCCTTTTATGTTGACTCGACTATATTAATCAAATCGTTTAAGGATTCATTCTGTTATATCTTATTGATAAATTTTATACTCTACCACCTTATACAAAAAATCAAATCACTATTAACTAGCAACTGCCGAAGTGATATATCATTGTTCGTACTACTTAAGTCTAACGTAAACAAATTATTAGTTCTGTTACTCTGTGTAGCTTTAAAGTACTATAAATTTAACACAATTGGGTACATATTTGATTTTGATTAATGGCTGTAAATAATTTGTACTGTTATTATCAGAATGTTCGTGGTCTTAGGACTAAATGTCTTGAATTACGACTAAATATTTTGACGAACGATTACGACATTATAAATATGACAGAATCATGGCTACACAGTGGAATTTTTGATGGTGAGTTGTGCGACGATAGGTATGACGTGTTCAGGGCTGACAGAGATTTGCGTAATAGTGGTAAAAGTACTGGTGGTGGAGTATTAATACTGACACGACGTACACTCGGTGCCATGTATCGTGACCTCGGCGTATGCGGTCTTACTGAGCTATTGTGGATTACTATTCCTTCAAGCGCGTGCGCTTCAAATTCCAACTTACATATTTGTGTGGCATATATTGCCCCTGACCCTCATCAAATGCCATCGGATCTCGTTTTTATTAAACAAAAAATTAATAGTATTATCGAGCTTTCTCCAAATTATAATTTTGTAATATTAGGAGATTTCAACTTGCCGTTCATTTCTTGGAACCCAAACGGAAATACAGCTTTGAAAAAAGGGCCTACTGAGGTACAAGAAGCGAGTATCCAGCTGATGGAAACACTAACATTTCACGGGTTAAGACAATTTAATACTTTAAAAAATCATGCTGGTAACACATTAGATCTTGCATTCTCTAATCTACCTCTGAATATCATCCCTGCGGCTGCGCCGCTACTCAGGGAGGACCACGCACATCCTTCTTTTTGCTTCATAGTTTTGGATTTAAACATTACTCCTCTACGGGAAACAGCTGCGCCGAGGCGAAATTTCAGGAGGGCTGATTATGAAAAAATTAATACATATCTTTTAGAACAGCACTGGAGGTCTCTTCTATGTACAGGCACTGTAGACGAAGCTACAAATACCTTTTATAACATACTGGATAGTTGTGTTCGTTTACATGTGCCTTTTAGTTATAACACAGGGAAGCGATCATATCCTAAATGGTACACACCTGCTTTAATAAAAATAATTAAGGAGAAAAACAATGCTCACACACGTTGGAAAAAATTCAGGAATAGATTAGATTACGATGAGTTTTCGTTACTCCGAGCAAGAGAACACCGTGTTCAGAGAGAATGCTTTAATAAATTTACGTCAAGTTGTGAAAATAGCATCAAAACACATCCTAAAACATTCTGGACTTTCGTCAAAGCCATTCGGGGTGGGTCAGGTTACCCTAAGAAAATGTCTTTGAAAGATATAGAGTACACCGATGGTATAGACATATGCAATGCTTTCAACTCATTCTTCAAGAGTGTATTTGGTATTCCTAGTAATAACTACATATATCCACATACGGAATCGTTGTGTACTGACACCGTTTCTAATGTACAGACAAACGCTGCAATAATTGAAAAAATGTTGAAAACTTTGGACACGAACAAAGGTACCGGTAGTGATGGGTTACCTTCTTTTTTTTGGTCACGATGCGCTAAATCACTTGCTCTCCCCTTGACTATTATATTTAATCGCTCTCTACGTGAAGGGATATTTCCGCATCAATGGAAGTGTGCACACATAATCCCTGTACACAAGAAGGGATCACGTACAGAAATAAATAATTATAGAGGCATTTCTATTTTGAACACCGCGGCTAAAATCCTTGAACGAGTAGTATATAACGTAATTTACTCCACGCTTTCACGTGCCTTCCCTGAGCAGCAACATGGTTTTTTACAAAGGCGATCCACCCTACGAACCTGGCAAGTTTTTCTTCTTTTGTCCTTGAAAATATGGATCAAGGTGGGCAGGTTGATGTGATCTACACTGATTTTGAAAAAGCTTTCGATCGTGTGGATCACATGATCCTGCTCAACAAATTAAAAATATTAGGGATTCACGGTGACTTGCTCCGATGGACTGAATCATATCTCACAAACCACTCACAAGCAGTCGTGATAGGTGGTTTCCGTTCGAGCCACATAAACATACCTACAGGTGTTCTTCAGGGCTCTCACTTAGGTCCACTTTTTTACAATGCCTACCTATATGACATTGGTTCGTGCATTATACACACAAATTACCTCATGTATGCAGATGATAAGAAGATTTTTTGTAAAATTAACACCATACATGACTGCCTATTGATACAAAAAGACCTGGACCGTTTATTTGAAAATTACAAAATAAATAATATAACTGTCAATGCAAGAAAGTGCGAATGTATTAGATTTACACGGAAATCTAAGCCAATTCTAAATAAATATCACTTTGACGGATTAGAAATCAGCCGAAAAGTAAGTGTTAGGGATTTAGGCGTAATTTTTGATCATAAAATGATACTATCCGAACACATTGATTACGTTATCAGTAAAGCCTATAAAAATCTTGGTTTTGTTCTTCGCATCTGTAAACCATTCTCGAATATTAATACAATTAAAATGGTTTATTTTGCATATGTCAGAAGTGTTTTGGAATATGCTAGTTCAATATGGTCTCCACAGTACAATGTCTACAAAAGCCGCCTTGAGCGTATTCAAAAAATATTTGTTAATCACCTTAACTTTCGCTGTCGGAATAAAATCGATACTTACACAGACAGTTGCACTGAGCACGATCTCTTATCTCTGGAACACAGGCGCATTTTGCTTGACATGGCTTTGTTATATGATATAATAAACAGTAATATTGACTGTCCATATCTTGTCTCAAGAATCACCTTTCGTACTCCAAAATTCCGTACCCGCAATACTACATTGTTACAGACTCCCTGGCATCATTCAAACTACTGTCGAAACACTGTTCTTTCGCGGCTTGCTCGTACATATAATGAACAATTTGGACACATTGACCTCTTTGCGAAATCTAAACTTACGTTTAAAGATTACATCAAGAAAACTATTACTCGAAATAGAGCAGTTGAAGTTAAAATCACATACAATCATATATTCTCTCATCTATTTCTTCTATATGTATTTTTGAGGCTACTAATATAAATATATATAATATATTATTTTATTTAATATATATTATAATTAATTATTTGTATTATGTTTATATATTTAAACATTTAATATGTATATATACATAAGTAAATATATAAGTATGTATGTATATATATATATATATATATATCTTATATGTTTATATATATATATATATATATATTTATATATATATAAAGGTAATGTAATATATCATTCTACCTGACTATCTCTCCTGATCTGTAAACTTATGACCACCTTCATTACATTGAATTGCTTATAATTTTGCTTATAATTTATCTATTAGATTGTTCTTTTTCCTTTTCTTCTAACAACAATACACCTACCATCAAACAATATAAGGGAAACCTGTTATTGGCCATACTTTTAGTTTGTTACATTAATGTTAATATTTTCTATATACGCTGTTGGTTTTCTAAATAAATAAATAAATAAATAAATAAATAGATTTCCGCAAAGTAACGCCTGATTCTATTAATTATTTTAATTATTAATTTTTTTGAGGAAAAAAAGTGTAAAAGTTCACGGACCACGCGAATAATGACGAGTATGTAAACATCGATACGAATAAACACGAGTATTCCTTTTACTCGTGCCAATAAACCGATATCGAGTGGAAAACAGGCGAATACTCGGGCCGAGTAGGATGCTGGTGCTCGTGCCTAATCGTCTGTGCTCGCCGAGTATCTAAACGTTGCATAACAATCTTACCATTTTTTCTACGGACCAACCGAGCATGTTAAACCTAGCTAATCCAAAGTAACCATCAATTGGTTCGTTAGTCGTAGTGATTGCCCAAATGTTTATACCTTCTTCCGCGTACTTTTCTAAAAATCTGAAACAATTGTACTTATTTAACTGACGTAATTTTTAAATGAACACTAGCAAATGTTGTTAACACTACTAATACGCCCCCTGACATCTCAAAAAAGCTTTTAACACTTGTAGTATATTTCACGAGTCATGACAGTAGACGAATTTCGGGTTAGGACTAACGAATTTTGAGTTTAGCGGTCCGTATCATTAATCATTAGGCTCTCAACCTGCATCCATCCATTACAGCCCATAAAAGTCCACTGCTGAACATAGATTGTATCATAAGGAGGATAATTTCCACAGTGGCAACATTTGGCAGTAGGGTTGGCAGCCGCTGTCTTTTTCTAGTTGTTATTCGGAAGACGCTGCTGCTGATTTAGTTTGTTTCCCACTGTCGTCTCTTACTCACGGCACGATATGTGGTGGTGAATGTTCTTACACCGCCTCTACTCGATCACGGAAACCCAGTGTTAAATAAATTCTACGTGGTAGAGCCATGCTGCAGCTATATTATGGTTGTAGCACGAATGGGTCGGCTCGACCGGGGAAGGACCACGCTCTCACAGAAAACCAGCGTAAAATAGCAGCTTAACGCTGCTGTGTTTCGTATGGTGAGTGTAGAGAACCGGAGACCCTTTTTACTGGCAAAGAGGCATTCCATCTTAGTCCTCACGGGTGACAACGCATCTGCATCTTGAGTCTTTATTGAGGATAGATGTAGATGTCTATGGGTCACAGTAACCACTTACCATCAGGTGAACTGTGTGCTCGTTTGTCACCGGATCCTATAAAAAAAAATTCAAGCACCCACTTGTAATGATACAAAGCATATGTTTCGAAGTATTCCTGTTTAAGCTGGCTGATCCCCGAGAATTTGTGATTAGTCTTCATCCAAACAGGCGGCGACCACGTCGTAGCCACTATATGCACCGGGGACGTAGCCACCTTGCTAATTTCTTTGATCATTGGTATCTGGAAACATTGTTAAATGTTTTACTAAGATCGTTCTGTTCAAATTAATTAGCTTTTGTCAATCCACCACTGGACTAGCCTTGTTGAGAATGTGATAACCGATGAACAATATCTGAACGCGTTGCACATACTCCTAACATTGGGTAAGCGGATTGGTGAACACAGAAACGATATCCTCGCATTGGAAATGCTGCATTACCAGTCTGTGAGATTTGGATTTGGAATTTGTATTATAGTTTTCCTGCTACCAATATATACGACGGCTCTATGGCGCAGTGGCTTAGTAATCAGTTTCGGTGCTGGGGGCCGCAGATTTGAATCCCGCACGAAACAAGTACTTGAATGGCCTAAAAATAATTGTTCTAGGTCCTGGATGCTTGTTCTTGTGGAATTTATATATGTAAACTGTCTCAACGATACAGGGGAAAGTCCTAGTGCGAGAGTAACGTCGCCGCGTGGTTGCGATTGTGTGTAGTAGTGTTGCTAGTGGCGGCGTAAGGTAATCCATCACCTCATCTCATCACCTGACTGTCATAACAGGACTGTGTCAGGAAAATCTTATACACTAGACATATAATACTACGGACCGTATTAATAAACGTTACTCAGCTCAAGTACACGCACTTGAGTACAATATTGAGGTTATGATCTTATTAATAAATATATCTCAAGATACGGTTTAGGTTTACGATATCAGCTGAGTGCCACACTGATTAATAAACGAAACTCGACTCTCAAGTGGGTGTACTTGAGTGCTAGTCACAGAACAGTACTCGAGCCAAAATCAGTTTTGTTGGGTTTATCTGACAAGAGATTCTCAGTAGGAGTCCGGAGTCAGGAAGTTTGCGGTGTTTTACTTCCGTGCCTCGGAACGCACCCTGCGCCTGATCTCCCTCCGCTTGTGTCGGTTTACCGTCCCATCGGACTATGAGAGTGAGGGAATAGAGTGCGCCTGCGTTTGCACATACACTCGGGCACTATTATAATCCTGTCCTGCGCAGATGGCTAGAATCCGTTGAGGATGGCCTCCGTGACCGAAATTCGGTCTTGAGGATATTATTATTATATAAGTATCTATTCGCGGTTAGGAATTAAAATTCAGACGCGTTGTCATACTCGAAGATTAAGACGGGACGTCTTGTTACCAGTAAAAAGGGTCTAACTCACCATGCGAAACAGAAGTAGTGTGCTCCTATTTCCCGCCGGTATTATATGTGGATGTTTATTAAATTACAGTCCAGTAAGTGCCTACTGCCGTCTTTTTTTATAGAATAAGGGTGACAAATGAGCACACAGTCCACCTGATGATAAGTGGATGCTGTAGCCCATAGACATCTACATCTATCTTCGTTGTCAGCCGTGAGGACTAAGATGGAATGCCTCGTTTCCAGTAAAAAGGGTCTCCGGTTCTCTACACTCACCATACGAAACACAGCAGCATTAAGCTGTTATTTTACGCTGGTATTCTGTGAGTCTTTCCCCGGTCGAAGTGACCCATTCGAGCTACAACTATACTATTGATATAGTTGTACCCTGGCCCTACCACGTGAAATCTCTTCTCTAGTCAATCTTCAAACAAAGAAGACCACAGATGCGTAGTCATCTCTGGGATCTACGATAGAATGCCGCTCAACATGTAATTACAATGGCTCACTATACCCGTCAGACTGGAACACTGAAGTGCAGGCACTACTGTTAGGCTGCAGAAACAGGTAAGTGGGTAGTACCTACACAGACAGACTCCTGGGCAGGATAGGAGACATATCACCCAGTATTATCTTGAGTGTATATTGGGTATGCTTCTTGCCAGTTCGAGCTGAATGATTTGTGCTACATCCCTCATAGATACATCTGCTCGTATATATTTCAAATGTAAAATAACTTACTTTGTAATTATAGTCTTCATCGGTCAGTGAGTAGTTTGACAGCTTCGTGTCATTCTCAGGCTGTTCATTGTAGGCATATGGGTGAGTTGAGAAGTCACAACCACCGATTGGCACTCGTAGCATGTTGTACTCCAGACCCTTAACGCTGAAGTATGAGCTAAAAAAGTAAGGAAGAATACATTAATTCAGCATAGTAGTAAGAAAATATATGCACAAGAGGTCTCTGAACTAGTTGAATTTAATCTAAAACATACATACCATCATAGATAAACACTCGCATCTGTCACACACAGGTAGGCACAGATCACGGACTTTAATTTTGCACAATCCTGACACACCTCTAATCAAAACACTTATTATAATAAATACATATCGTTACAGTAAATTGAGCAAATGAAAGGGCATCTGTCATTGAAGTTAGCGCAATTAGGCCCGTATTAATAAACGGACATAAGTCAAAAATCTATGTGTTACCCAAGTTCTAAACAGTAATTTATATAAATGAAGGACGGGAAGAGCGGAGCCTATTAACACAAGTTTCCTAACTTAGAAGGAGTGTTCCAATGATGTATTTAATTTTAAGTATTACTGGTCTGAAAATAAAGATATTTTGATTTAACTCAAGTGCGTAATAATTTGATACGCCCTCATTACGATATCATTATCTCAAGATCGTTGCTAATTAATAAACACATAAAAAGAGTATCTCAAAACGATGTACTTAGGAATACTGTTCTGTGACTTGCACTCAAGTACACACACTTGAGAGTCCAGTTTCATTTATTAATCAGTGTGGCACTCAGCTGATATCGTAAATCTAAACCGCATTTTGAGATACATATGTTTATTTATAAGATCATAACCTCAAGGTTGTACTTAAGTGCGTGTACTTGAGTTGAGTATCGTTTGTTAATACGGGCCATAAACAGTGTGAAGGATTTTATTTACCTAAGGTTGACAAACAAACATCTAGATAGATGCACTCGAAGCTAATAAAAGCGTATTAAAAATACAGTTTGTATATACGAGTATCTATAGGTTTCGAAAAGACTCCGTTAAATAGATATGTAACGGAATCTTTTCATGTAATTTTCACCAACTTATAGACGGCCGATTGACTTCAAAATTTGCACTCCTATCAAGGGCCGATGACAGTACAATATTTTAATTACTAGGACCCAGTGTTCTCTCTAGGATCATCACATCTCACAATCAATGCGTGTTGTTTAAGTTTTCTTAAACTCTAAAATTATTTAAAACTAAAATAATTATGCATAGGTCTTTCCAAGAATGGATCAGCTGGTAGGCATTACTTCAAAGATAAACCGACGGCTTTTGACGGCTCCGTGGCGCAGTGGCTTAGCAATGAGTTGCTGTGCTGGGGGCCACGAGTTCGAGTCCCGCAGGGACAAGTGTTTGTATGGCCTACAAATAATTGTTCCGGGTCTGGATGTTTGTCTTTGTGCAATTTCTGTTTGTAAACTACTTTCACGATACAGGAGAAAATCCTAGTGTGGGGTGTGGATAATGTTTTAAAAACAAAAAACCCCTAATCAGATTAGTGAACAGTCCAAAGCCGACAGTTTGCACAGTAATGCGTACTATTATTTATTCTGTGGTAATGCTCCCACCACCTGTCTGTGTATGCTTAGCCTTTTTAAATACATATTTTAGCAATATTTGGTTGGCTTAGCGATGCTTCGTAAATCAAAGTTGGAATTTAAAATATCATAGTACATATTTACTCGATTAAGTATTTCTGCATCACTTCTGGCAAACTCTTCCAGTTGATAGCTGCTGAATCGGTCACGGCACCTCCAAACCCTTCAACTGCTTGGTATTTTTTCTTTGGGTTTATTGTAAAAGTGGTTGTACAACATTCTACTGCAAAAACAAAGTAAAATAACAGATATTAAGAAATTTATTTTATATTAAAAATAAAATTAAGCCATATTCGCTTATTTTTCACATGATGATTTCTCTTTACAGGAAAGGGCCAAACGAGCATGTGCTTCACCAGGGTAACACCAGGGTTTACTGGCCTTTAATAATTAATAATAAATATTTTTTGTGCAATTTAAATATTTGAACATTACTTTTGCTATTTGCTATTACATGGCGGCTAGTAATGGCACCACGGCTTATATAGAAGTTGTTTAGTGTCCAGTCTATCTCTACTCATATTATAAATCTGAAAGTATGTTCGTTGGTTTATATTTCTTTTCGCAGAAACGAAGCAACGCATCGACATGGGATATGAAGGAAAACAATATAAGCTATATTTTGTCCTTGAAAATAGCACGTTTCCCGTAGGGTTGGATTGTAGCGTATTTCCGTAATTACCTATTTAAGTTTTAGGTCTTGTAATAACACACTAACGTTAATTTTTGTACTACCTAACTAAAATTTTGATGGTGTTTTCCGATCTCCACGTGGGTGAACCAAATTCTATTTTAATTTAAGAATTTCTTTGTATATAACTGATGTTTAAAATAGATTTATGAACGAGACGAATAAATTTGAATTGAGCAAAATTGGCTTACATGTATGATCCAAAGTTTGAAATGTTCCTATGGTCTTCTGAAACCGAGATCCAGCCTGCAAATAGCAGAAAAAAAGTGAGAGTGTAATAGTGTGATTATGTTACGTGTTTATTTAAGAAATATTTCTGTTTCTCGTATGATGGCAGCGTAGGTGAATCCCCTACCTTATATCAATCCATGGGTGTCGTAAGAGGCGACAGATGGAAACTGAAACAGGAGATGGGCACCAAGATCCTTCTGACAACAGCTCAAAAAAATTAAATACTGTGGTTGCCAACCCGAATGCCAAGCGTGACAATTATAGCAAATATCCCCTAAGAGGGAATCTGTTAAGGTGGATTATGTTTAGCAGTGCATTTTTGATAGGCTGTTATGATTGAATGTATGTAAGAATTATTAAAAAAGGCTGGAGAAGCTAGCTGAATATAGACATATAATAATGGTGCGGTAGACTGTTTCCTGCTCTATTATCCTTTCAAAATGAGAGGTCCTCAACATACATATAATGCGATATAATATCTTCCACACCGAATTTCGGTCACGGCGGCCAGCCTCAACGCAGGCCATCGGCGCAGGACAAGATTATAGTGCCAAAGTGTATGCGCAAGCACAGGTGCACTCTCTATTCCCTCATTCTCAAAGTCCGATGGGACGGTAAACCGACACGACCGGAGGGAAATCAGGCGTAGGAGCAACGGCTTAACGTGCCTATCGAGGCAAGGGCGTCACACATCGCCAACTTCCAGACTTCGGGCGGCTACTCAGAATTTCTTGACCGAAAAACTCAAGAAATTATTTTTTTGCCCAACCCGGGATTCGAACCTGAGACCTCATGATCAGCACTCGTATTTGCAACCAATAAACCATACATATATATGCGATATACGTACTACATAACTACGTATGTGAATCTGTTATAGTTGTTACAATACCTTAAGTACCTTTAGGCGGCTATGCCTTGATCGTTAAGAAATTTGGCAAATGGACTGCATTATTCTAAAGATGTGTGCATACTCACCACGCAAGGCAAGCAGATTGGAGAGTGCAGACCTTAAACCTTGTAGTGGTAACGCTGCTACCAACACTAGTGTCTGGGATTTTGGGTTCTGCATTTACGAATGTTTATGTCGACGGCAGATTATATGATTCGTCACTATATAAACGGCGACGTCGGATTGAAACGCGGGATGGTTTGCGAAATGTCGAAAGTGAATTGATATGTCATGGTCCGATCCTAGAAATAGGCAGATCATGATGTGCCTGGGCATTTCATGATACGCCAACATTTTATGATTTGGCAGATGATTTTTTGTCCGCCATAGCACTTTATGTTTAATTTATATAATATGTGAATGTATGGTGCATATACCCACTGTCGCCAATATTACTAAATAGATGTGCCTGGGCATGTCATGATAAGCCAACATTTCATGATTTAGCAGATGATTTGTCCGCCATAGCACTTTGTGTCTAATTTATATAATATGTGAAATGTGAATGTATGGTGCATATACCCACCTTAACACACTGTCGCTAATATTACTTATTATGTGCTTTCGTATTTATAATATATTAACAGAAGTCAAAAGTATGTATACCGTTTGTATGATAATGATTTATACAATCTGATATGATATATGATAATGATTTATACAATGACGGCTCCGTGGCGCAATGGCTTAGCAATCAGTTGTTGCGCTGGGGGCCGCGGGTTCGAATCCCGCACGGAACAAGTATTTGTATGGCCTACAAATAATTGTTCCGGGTCTGGATGTTTGTCCTCGTGCAATTTATGTTTGTAAACTGCCTCCACGACACAGGAGAAGATCCTAATGTGGAGGTAACGTTTTTTTAAAAAAAAAATCTGGCGACGACATACATATATATATATATAAATATATAACATAATATACAATTTTTATAAAGCTATTAGAGTTTCTGGGTCTTCAATCCAAAATGTCTGACACCAATTAACTTCAGGTCACACCTTTGGTGCTGTTACCTGTAGCCATCTTTAAAATACATCTGGTAAATACGAATTGGCATACCATCTTATATCGGAGGAACGTGTGTTCAACGTAAATAAATTATAGGTAATTAACACTACACTGTACTTTCATTTTTATAAGAGATGACAGAGTGAATCAAACCTGGAGATCAATAGCAGTGTCTTCCTAATAACAACAAGAAAATATTAAAAACATGCATGAATGTCGTGGAACATACGGTTGGAACGAAGTTCCTTTCGTAGTATATTATTATTGAAAAACGTATTATATTATTGATTAACAAATACAAACAAATGAATTACTAGCGCCTATTAAAATGAAGCGTCATTTAAATAAAATATTTCTTTCAAGGCAAGATAAGAAAATGTGCGAGAGAGATGGATATTATTTCATCTTGCTTGCTTATAGCCGCAAAGGCCGTAACACCACGTCAGAATTCTTAATTATAGAGAATCTAGAAAATCACCTCGGAACTTGTGTAAGTTACGTAGGTACCATTTACTGGTTCCTCTCTTGTGATGTCATCGCAGTAAGTAGAATTGCATACGCATATCACCGAGCGTCCACTGATACGGCGAGCTAAACATGGCTTGTCTAAAGCTGTAAAAAGAAAAAAACCGGTCAAAGGTCAAGGTGGCTAGACTTCTTTACAGCCTAGTAGTCTGCCTACGTCGGTACTAATCTCTTACCTATTTCTGTCCAAATAGCAGTGCGTACACTGCTGTTTTCCGGTCTGGAGTGTAAACAGAATCAGTACAATTATTTTGTAACTAATAAGCAGTGAGATATTCCATCTGAGTCACCAGAGGCAACAACACATCTGTAGTCTTCTTTATTTGAAACACGTTTCCACGGACTGCAGTAGCCACTTACCATCAAGTCAATTGTAAGTTAATTTGTAATAGTTTTACAAAAAAATGCCAAGTGCTCTTTGTTAAACCATTGGGCTTTTTCATTGTGAGAAAATCCTCATGAACACTTATTGCTGTGAGGGGAATAGGTTATGCTAAGCTTTTACCGGTCAAAGCCTCATATTAGTCACCATTGACGCAGTCAAGAGGCACGTGGACCTCCGTTCGGAACGCATCCGAGGCCCCTACATTGCTATGCTTGTTCAACTCGCCACTGGGACAGTACCTAACTAGCTAGAATACTAGAAGTAACTACTTCTAGTATTCTCCTGGCATATAATCTCTTTTGATCATACTCAGTAGCCTCCTAGCTATTAAGGCTTCACACTTTCTGATTATTCAAAGTACTCTGTGCTTCACACAAAGCGGCTACAGCCGCTCAAACCCTTGGGCTACGTTTGTAACACTAGTTCGGCCGAAATATCTTCTTAACGGATTTTATCGTGTAGAGAAATGAGCATATCCCTCCCTAAAGTCTGCTTTAATAAATACAATGATACGTGATCTTTGAATTGTTTAAAACCCTTAAACTAATAATAAGCGACTGTTTTGAACCTATGTGAATCTATTGTAATGTAATTATTGCGCAAAATAGTTTTATAAAAATTGAACACCAGCACCAGCACCAGCCATTGACTCGGTAAAAATAGCTTAAAAATGACTATCATGTTAAGAACACAGTTTATAAAACCGTTTTTATTTTATCGAACAGATTAAGCGAGACCCTAAGTTTAGAAATTAAAAGAGCAATCCAAATCCTTATTAAGTGGCGAAGCTTGCGAAGTCACTTATTGATTTCACGATGTCTGTCCGTCTGTCCCACGATTATCTCGAGAACGGTTTCGAATTTTCAAATTCTGTTTTCAGCAATCGATTACTAATCACCCAGGCATCTGAACCTCCTATTTTGAAACTGATTGCTCAACGGCAACCGTTAGAAACCGCTACAAAGCTGATTGCTTCGCCACTTTGCTATGCTGTTAGCTTGCTAGGTTTATTGCTGTTCACTTCGCTCTATATGAATTGCCCATTAAAAGTAGATATAGGAACATGATACATACGGGTAATCAAGTTATCAACAAAAGATTGCGTTCCATTCTTCCTGCAAGGCGTTTTTAAGATCTCTTAAATTAGCGGAGGCAGGATGTTTTTTCTTAATTTGTCTTTCAAGCATATCCCATACATACGCTATGGGGTTTCAGTCGGGCGAGCGAGCTGGCTACCCTATAGCATTGATTTTAACGTCTCGAAGGTATTCGGCCACTACGTCCGTAGTATGGGGGCGTGCACTATTATCATTTATTAGGTATAATAACAAATCTATCTCCTATAAAAAGGGATAATGGCATTACAATTTCTTCCAAAATCTCAGTTACATATCGTGCCACTGTTAGTGCGGTCACTAGTGTCGGTACACTCAATGACGCGAAGTTCCGTACGTTAAAGTTAAAAAGTTAAAGTTACAGCCTATATACGTCCCACAGCTGGACACAGGCATCCCCTCATTTCTGAGAGGGTTTTAGGCCAAGGAAATGTCCGCCGCCCTGCCCCAATGGCGTGTTGGCGTACTTCACATGTCTTCGAAATATTTTTTTACTTATTTCTCAGACATGCAGGTTTCCTCACGATGTTTTCCTTCACCGCCGTACACGTGGTAAATCAGCATTTAAAATTGGAACTAACAATTTCATTGGCGCCGGCGGGGATCGAACACAGGTTGCTCGAAAACTATGAAATTTACAGCGAGCGCTTAGCCCCTGAGCTACTAAGACTTATTACTTCTTATCTATATCTATACACACAAATAAATAAAATTGAAGTGTCTGTTTGTAATTTCGAAATAACAGCTTTTATTATATGCATATGAAAGTATATACGATACTTATAACATAAACACGATTTTTAAAATTTTTTGTCTGTCTGTCTGTCTTTCCGTCTGTCTGTTTGTTCCGGCTAATCTCTGAAACGGATGGACCGATTTTGACGGGACTTTCACTGGCAGATAGCTGATGTCATAAGGAGTAACTTAGCTTAGTTTTATTTTAGAAAAATGATTAGGGTTCCGCGCAAAAATATTTAAACCCCAAATAACACGCGGGCGAAGTCTCGAGGAACAGCTAGTAAATAAATAAATTTATCATCATTACTATAATAATTTATCATAAGTCCACTGCTGAACATAACGTTTACATTAAAAGGTCTTATAGGGGTAGCATTTACTTTAATTTGGTTAATGTTTGTCATTCGCTCGTTTGTTTTTCTCGACCTTTGTAATTTTAAATTAACGAACAATCAAAATCCAAAACTTAATAAATTGCCACGCTTGGCAGTTTTTTTTTATAGTATCGAGTGACAAACGATCACACAATCCACCTGATGGTAAGTGGTTGCTGTAGCCCATAGACATCTACATGTCCTCGTTTACGAATCAAAATGCAGATGCGTTGTCATCCGTGAGGACTAAGATGGGAAGCCTCTTTTCCAGTAAAAAAGGTCTCCGGTTCCCTACACACTCACCATACGAAACACAACAGCGTTAAGCCATTGAGATAATATGTTACTACGTAACTAGAGTCGCTACTACCAACAAGCACTGCGTTGTACAAAACATTGGTGCACGCTCCTCAATGGGCCTTATTCGCTGTTTAGTGAGAGACCGAGATAGACGGTGCAGAGATTACGTAAATAATTAATTATTCCCTATTGCGTACTTAGATACTGTAAAATTAGTTCTAGAAATTCATCAAAATCTGAAGGAGTAACATTTCATAGGTAAGTAATATATTATTAGGTGAAATTCCTATAATTTAGGTAAATTTTCTGTGATTTGAAAGAATTAAATAAATCATAATTGCTCGCTCGCTTGCACGCGCTGCTATTACGCAAGAGCGAGAGAGATAAAAAAGAACGAGCATGGATTGAAGCTCCTATGGCACAGAAGCGACAACTCTTTTATAATTAAGTCATAACCTATATTAATATTGTCCTTTTTCTTTTATAATTTCTATTATAGTATTTACTATTTTATTGTAAACACTCTTCTCTCAATTTTATAACGCAATAAAAAAGAACGTAAAATAAACATTCTACACTCAGCGGCACGGAATCTTGGCCAAGCGGTTATCTCGCGATAGCAAAAGCTTTAAGTGTTTCTGATGAATGTTTGTTATGCAGGTATGTCAAAAAATGTTTGCTCTCAAGTTCAAGAGGGTAATTCATTATGTTAAGTGCACCATGACGAATTCTTTAATTTTTAGTTGAATCGGGTCATTTGAGCGACTAAGTTCACATTTTAAATTTGTGTGTTGTGAAAAGTTTACTGTAAGGTTATTCAATTATTGTGATCTTGTGTCTTAATTCAATAACTAAAGGTGCTTTAAAGCCAATAAAAATGCCATTAACACCAGCACAAGTTGCACAAGCAGTAGCATTAATTGACCAAGGGCTGACACAGCGTGAAGTTGCTATTGTGCTTAACGTACCACGGTCCTCAATGCAGTATTCACTGAAACGATACCAGGAGACAGGACGCTACACCCGCAGGCCAGGCAGTGGGGGCGTAAGGTGCACATCGGCCCGGGACGATCGTTTTATTGTTATGGAGATTTTGAGAAACCGCTACCTGACCGCTGTTGAGATACGCCAGCGGCTCCAAATCGCAAGAGGCGTTAATGTTAGTGAGCGTACGGTGAGAAGACGAATGGAGGAAGTGAATTTAAAAGCTCGTAGACCAGCACGAGGTCCAGAACTTCTCAGACAGCACCGAGTAGCCCGACTTCAGTTCGCAAGAGAACATGTCAATTGGACCCACGAGCAATGGGCTAGAGTGTTGTTCACAGATGAGTGTCGAATAGCTTTACGTGCTCCAGACGGTCGAGAACGAGTGTGGAGAAAAAGAGGAGAGAGCTTTCTACCCATTACCACCACCCAAACTGTGAGTTTCCATGGAGGCTCAATAATGGTATGGGGAGGTGTAAGTTCCGACGCACGTACAGAGTTGGTCATCGTCGATAATCGGCTTACAGCTACTCGATACATCGAGGAAGTTCTTCAGGAGCACGTAATTCCTTATTCGGGATTCATTGGACACGACCAATTCCTCCTCATGCACGATAATGCACTACCGCACGTCGCACATTGTGTAGAGGAATATCTGGAAGAGGTTGGAATACAAAAATTACAGTGGCCAGCTCGTAGCCCGGACTTAAATCCAATTGAGCATGTATGGGGTATGTTCAAAAGAAAGATAAAGTCCAGCTCCAAACCGCCACAAACTCTAAATGAGCTCCGAAATGCAGCGCTGGCCGCTTGGGACAGCATACCGCAAGTTGATGTCAGAAACATCATTCAAAGCATGCCAGATCGAATGCAAGCGGTTATCAGGGCTAGGGGAGGAAACACCCGATATTAAAACTGATAGACAATAAAGAAACAGACTTAATTTTTAACTTTGTAGTGTTTTTAAAGTGACAATGGAAAGATGTTAATTTTAGTGAAAACATGTTATCTTGAAAAGAAAAATTTCGGTGAAGTAAACATTAAATTTCTACGTTCTAAAACCATTAGAGACACTTATTGAATGCATCTACCCTTAATTTACTGTTAAAAAAACGTTTCAGTGCAAATAATCAGCAAATTCACGAGTGGCCAAGTTTCCGTGCCGGTGAGTGTACTATAATAATGTTTTAT